GGCTGTCAATGAAAGTACTAGGGAGTGTTTCAAACTATAGACACTAATACAGCTTGTAGAAAAACAGATTCTTTCTCTGCAGAATTTCAACTTTTTGCAGAAACAAACAAACCAACCCAAAACTGTAAACCAAAAATCTACCGACCAAAAATTGAAACATTTTTGGTTTTTTGCTGAAATATCTCAGATTTTGCGGGAAGCAGACACTTTACACAAAACTTCTAGTTTCAATATAAAAAAATAGATTTTTCCTCAAAGATGATTCAACAGAAGTTTTTCTACCATCCCGTTGTTGCAAGTGTTACTGGAAGCTGCAGCGCAAATGTCAGAAAATGGGGATGAGCCTGATTTTGAGTGAGACAAATCGCTGCATTTTCCTGGCAAGGGAGGGACCTTTGTACACAATCTATAAGATATTTTTGGATCATAGCACCAAAAACACTTTCTCTTGAAGGCTGGGAAATATATGTTGGCTCTTCTATGAGTGCAGCTGTGTATGCAATAATAGGCAGAAGCATGAGGAGAAAATACAGTCACTCTAACGAATAGACAAGGCCATACAAAATTTTGTACATTGACAAAGGGAATTTAAGAGTGTTTGGATTCTTTCAGTTTCTGAGCTAATAATTAATAATATCATGATCCTGTCAGCATCCAAACCAGGGGTGAAGAAAAGGCCCCCATTTTAAAATTTAAAACTAGAACTTTCTCATGGGAAATAGATCCTCAGCATCTCAAAGATTTGGGATATTTTGTTCTCTTCCACTGATAAAAATGGTGTGTGAGGGATGCACACTAAGGAACCCCAGGTTGGGAAATGATGGGCAATAAAAGGCTGTATTCACTACACAAATGCAAATACTGTCCCCTGGGCCTTGATGCCCCAACACCTGCATCTGGCATTTCCACCTGGGCAACAGTGAGTGTCACCATATATCATTCTGACATGGCAACATTCTACTCCCCCACCTCCCCCCACTCTTCCCAGGGAGTAAGTGGAGTGGAGCATCAGACCCAAGATCTCTTGAGAGGCCCTGTGGTAGTAGATTCAGTTCTCTCAAAAGTCAACAGAATTATTGAGAGTGCTGTTAAGTGGGAGGAGCACTTAAAACATAATCCTGCCCAAAGCAGCTTAAATCTAAACTCCCATTTGTGCAAACCCTTGAGTACCTGCCTTCGTGTTATTAGTTTCTCTGAAGTGAATAGAACTAGTCATGTGAATTAAGTTATGTACATAGAAACATAGGAATGTAGGACTAGAAGAGACCTCAAGATGTCCCCTCTTGCTCTTCTTTTCTGAAGACTCAGCATGTCCAGGTTTTTTCCCCCTTTCCTCATATATCAGGTTTTTTAAACCTTTGATCACATTTGTCGCTCTCCTCTGGACTCACTCCAGACATCCACATCTTTCTTAAGATGAGGCATCAACACTGCTGAGTATAGCCAGACAATTACCTGTGTTTTAGATCCAACACTCCCAATCAGACAGCCTAGAACAGTGGATCTTGAACTTTTTGGCCGACAGCCCACTCTACTCCATACAAACCTATTAGGCTACTGAAGCATAACCGTGCAAATTCGCAGCTATTACATAAGGGGGTGTATGTAACCAGTAAGAGAGGAAATATTGTTAATCAAAATAATTGAACAGATTAAGCACGTTAACTTGCTCGTGTTAGTTTACCAAACTTCATTTTAAATAAAGTAAAATATTAATTTCTGTCCAAAACAAAAGGTTTCAACAATGTCTTTATTTATTGGGAGTTCAGTGTGTGGGAGAGGGCAGAGTCTGGGTAGGAGGTGGGATGCAGGAGGGGGTGAGGTGCAAGGTCTGGGTGGGAGGAGGGGTGCAGGAGCAGGCTGGGGGTCCAGGCAGGCGGGTGGGGTGCAGGTAGGGGTGTGAGGTCTGGGCAGAAGGGAGGGTGCAGGAGCAAGGTGTATGTGTGAGAGCAATGGAGTTGCAGGGTCTAGGCATAACAGATATGGGGTGCTTTCCTAGCTCCATACACTCTGTGATTCTGGCCAATGGGAGCAGCAGGGAAAGCCTCCAGGCAAGCAGTTTCCTGCACTGCCATTCCCCAAACTAGGGAGAGTGGTAGTGCATAGAGCTGCTTCCTCCCTTAGTGAGCCAGATCAGGCCCGTGAGGCTCAGAGTTCCACCCGCCTGCATAGCAGGCATCCCGTGCTGGTGTTTCAACCTCACAGGGGCTCCCTGCTGTGGGGGGAGGAGGAGAGCTCCCCGCCAGTGGCCCACCTTGCAGGATGGTTGCAGACACACTTTGAGAACCACTGCCCTAGGAGGACATTAGCTTTTTGCCAGGACATCATATTGTTAGCTCATATTCAGTTTGTGATGCACTTAACCCCTAGATTCTTCTTGGCAATGCTCTACCATCCAGCCAGTTATTCCCCCCTTTTTTATGTGTACATTTGAATCTTCCTTTATAGGCATTGTACGTTGCACTTGCCTTTATTGAATTTTATCTTGCTGGTTTCAGACAAATTATCCAATTTGCCAAGGGTCATTTGGAATTCTAATCCTGCCCTCCTAAATTCTTGCAATACCTCCCAGCTTGCTATTATCTGCATATTTTATAAACCTACTCTCTAACCCATTATCCAAGTCCTTAGTGAAAATATTGAATAATACCACACCCAGAATAGACCCACTAGATACCTTCTCATAGTTTGACAGCAAACCAAAATGATAATAAATAACAATAACTTCTACTTTCCCAATCGACAGATTAATCAGCTCAGCCTGGGTTTTTCACTTTACTTACCATCTGCCCTTACCTATTCTGGGGTTGGGGGATGGGAAGTGAGTAATCCAGGTGCTGGCCCTAGAGCTAAGTACTGTATAATGGCAGTGAAGGTAATGAGGCAGTTAAGATGGAGAAAGTTAAAAAGGACCAGCTGGAAGCTGTCATCTGAAAAATGCGTTGACTCAAACAATAGGCTGTTGGGAGGAAATGTTGTGAAGACTTGAGAGGTGAGGTTGGTTTATTCTTGTCTTTAGTCCTTTTGCATGAAGGGATTGTGTTTTCTGGGGAGAGGGAGGATTTAATAAGCAAAAGGAAGGACATAAAGGAAAGGGGAAAGCTATTGCTCTAATCTTTGCTGCCAAAAGGGGTAGGTATAATAGCATCCTTCTCTAAACTCTGAGTTGGGCTATGGCTGTCTCCTGCTGCTAGCATGGAGCTGCTGGGTCAGATGGAGCTGCACCTCTACACTAGTGCTGAGAACCAAAGTATGTATGGTGGCTGGAGAGAAGCTGCTGTGGTCTTGCTATCTTGTGCTATGTCTACAGTTAAGCCTTGTGCTTTTATCCTGAGTGTTTAAATAAGTGGCCTGGTTCTTTCTTGCCTTCAGTTAATTCTCTCTGGACTGGGTGAGGTCTCTGTGTGTGCAATGACTCTCATAGCTGGGCCACGGTAATTCTGGGTGCTGCTTAGGACTGGTCAGTGTATGGTCAAATCCATACGCATCTGAAATGTTCACAGTGGGCGTGCTCCCTGGCTTAACCTAGCTGTTTACAGTCACTCCAACACACAAAAACCTTCTCTATCTTTGCCCTGGAACAGCGGTAGAGAACCTAAGGTCTGGGGGCCAGATACGGCTCCTGGCTTGCCTGAATCCAGCCTCTGCAGCTCAAAGTCTCCCCTGCATTGGGGAGTCTGTGCTGGTACTCTAGCCCCCCTGCTGTCCTACCATGGGGCTGAAGCATGCTGTCTACTAGATGGTGCCCTACTAGGCGCTAGTGTGCAAGAGGAATGGGGGAGGGAGTGCCTTTAGGTTTCTCAGCTGGGCACCACACATCAGCGAGGGGTTTTTCATGTGTAGCCTCTGACTGCCTCTTTTGTGGGTCCGTGGACCCTGGATCCCAAAAAAGGCATCTGCTGTAGTGACACAGCCTCTCCATAGATTGGGACCTACTGGGGAACCTTATCAACAAGGCCCTGGAGGCTTCCACATTCCAAGGTGCAGGGTGAGATCATGATTCTGAACACTGTGGAATGGTGCCCCACCAAACAGCTGCTTAGTGAGGCCTAATGTCTCCCAAGTAAGAGCCCCAGGCATTGCTTTGGAGCTTTGTCCCCAGGCGGTGCCAAGAGCCTGACACCTCCGGGTGCCACAACTAAACTGTATTGTGGTTCCATGTTGCTCCTGCTGGGTGTGGCACCTGCAGCCATTGAGGCATCTGCCCCTCCCCACAGCAGTGGCTATTGACAAAGAAAGAGGGAAGGGACTGGGGAAGGAACCCCTTCTCAGCCCATCTGCTGTAATGGAAAAACCTCCCTTCCCAGGTGGGTGAGTAAAGAGCTCTGCAAGGTTCTGACCACAACTAGCCAAGCGCTTTGTGTCTGAATAGACCTACATATGACGTGTCTGGCTAGTATGGAGGTGGGGTGGGAAGGGATTGGCTTGTGGGGGAGGGAATAAGACAGATCCTCTACAGGAAGAGCCTAACTCCTCACTTTGTTGTCCCTGCCAATTACCCCTGTTCCCTTAGTCACATGGGACTGTTTCCAGCAGAGGGAAAGGCCCTCAAGGTACAAACTTCACAACCTAGTTGGGTTCCTCTGAAGGTCAATGGTGCTGGGAATAGGAGGGAGGGGCAGCTCTCTTCTGCAAGGAACAGCAATACTTGTTCCTTCACATACAGGAGCCAGCTTTGGACACCAGAACTGCTCTAATGAAAACTGTCGAGGACCATTGCCTTCTAATGTCCTGCCTGCCTTGACCTAGGCTCTCCTCTAGTACACCAGATACATGGAATGGGTACCATTCTGTACACCCTCTTCCTCATTTCCAAGGTGGAATGTAATTGTAACTATGCTGCTATATTGTCCTGTGGCCAGTCATTTTGTCACTAAGTGTGTTGGGAAGCTGGTTCGTTCTTACAGGGGCTTCTGTGTGGCTTAAGATGTGCACTCCCAGCCTCCTGTGTCAATGCAACTTTGGGTGACTGATCATTGTTCTTCTAGCCTATTGACAGAATGTCTGGACACAGCAAGAAGAAGGCGAAGTCCTGGCCTTTGAGATCCCAGTCAAAGAGGGCCGGCTTGCAGTTCCCTGTGAGCCGTGTCTACCGGTACCTGAAGAAGGGGCACTTTGCAATGAGAATAAGCCCCAGTGCTGCCGTCTATTTGGCCTCCGTGCTAGAGTACCTGACTGCCGAAGTGCTGGAGGCAGCCGGGTACGTGACTCAGGCAAAGAGATCCCACCGCATCGTGCCAAGGCACATCCTGCTGGGCATTAAGAGTGATGATGAACTGAACAAGCTGGTCAACCATGTGACTATTCCGCAAGGAGGTGTCCTGCCCCGGATTGAGAAGCTGCTTCTGACCCAAAAAACCAACAAGAAGCCTGCGCGTGGAAA